CCTCTGCCAGTGAAAACTGTGTTCAAGGCAGCAGGGTGAAAACGGAGTTCAAGGCGGCTGTGTGCAGCCCTCCCAAGCTCCGTTTTAGGCCGTGATGGCCTCCTGCAGCCCTCTGCCAGTGAAAATGGAGTTCAAGGCGGCCGTGTACAGCCCTCCCGAGCTCCGTTTTAGGCCGTGATAGCCTCCTGCAGCCCTCTGCCAGTGAAAACTGTGTTCAAGGCAGCAGGGTGAAAACGGAGTTCAAGGTGGCTGTGTGCAGCCCTCCCAAGCTCCGTTTTTGGCTGCAACGGCCTCCTGCAGCCTTCTGCCAGTGAAAACGGAGTTCAAGGTGGCCGTGTGCAGCCCCCCCAAGCTCCGTTTTAGGCCGTGATGGCCTCCTGCAGCCCTCTGCCAGTGAAAACGGAGTTCAAGGCGGCCATGTGCAGCCCTCCCGAGCTCCGTTTTAGGCCGCAACGTCCTCCTGCAGCCCTCTGCCAGCGAAAATAGTGCTCAGGAGAGCCACACGGTCCTCACAAGCTCCATTTTTGCTGGCAGAGGCACTGTGGGACGGACATATTTTTTTTCCAGGGAAGCCTCGCCGGCCATATTTAAGCATCCACAGGCCTTGAGATTGACACCCCTGATTTAGGAGATGTGCTCCTGAGTGACGGTTATTGACAATCATCTAGCAAACTGCCCTGGGTTGAATATCTATGGAGATTCTCAAGTCCTCCAGGTCCAGGTTCCCCCGAAGGTGCTTTTTCCCCTGAAGACGCTTCACTTCTCATCTGAGAAGCTTCCTCAATTCTGACCCTCAACGTCTTCAAGGAAAAACAGAGGCCAGTTGCCTTTGGAATCAATGCCTTTTGATTTAAATTTCAAAATAAATGGAAACCGATCAACGTCGGGAGGCAAAGCAGAACAGCTTCTTAAAAGCTACGCATAAACTGAGTGAGGTAATTCCATTGAGAGAAGATAAACTTGAAAAGAAGGAAGGGCACATTCTTATAAACCAGTGGTGGGGAAAATGTTCTAATTTTAGGCATGAGGCGCCTCAGAAGCAGGCCAGGTGTGCTGCTATTTTTACCTGTGGCGTTGGGGGCTCCACTTTCCTTTTCTTCTTTTGATTCTGCTTGTTGGTCCTTGGGTACACTACCAGCATCTCCAACCACCTGGAGGCAAGAAGGCAAGTTGAGAATTGACCCCACTGAAAGAGGGGACAGCCAGACAAAGTTTAATAAAAAAAATTTCAATTTAATAAAATTTGTGTGCTGCCCACTCCCTTGGGACTCTGGGCGGCTTACAGACAGATAAAAAAGCATTTAAGAATTTAAAAGTAAAAAAAATACAATTGTTAAAATTGCACACCATCCATTCAGTCTAAGTGAGGCTGGACATTGATCAACAGCCCCAGGCCTGCCGGAACAGCCAGGTC